CATCCTCCCGCCTGCCAGCTCCAGCGCACAGGCTTGCCTTTAATCTCCTGCCTCTCACATCCCTCCACCCCCTGCCTCTCCGCAAAGAGACCCCCAGCTGTGCTTACTTGGGGGCCGACCTGGCAGTAAGCAGTTCACATACAACACCCCACTTAAAGGCACATCGTCCCCAGCTGACAGACAGGGGCCTGAGGCAGGGACTGGTTCAGTTCCTTGTTGAAGGGCACTCGAGAACCCAGCTGTGCCTGACTTCAAGCTCCCAACTGGGTTTTCCCAGGAGGCTCAGTGGTAAAGAATCCACCTGCCAATGCAGGAGATGCAGGTTCAATCCCTGGATCGGGAGGACCCCCCCAGGAGAAGGAAATGGCAACCCACTCCCATATCCTTGCCTGGAGAATCCCATGGACAGAGGAGCCTGGTGGGCTACAGTCCACGGGGTCACAGAGTCGATGAGCATTCTATGATGAAGTTAATCGGTTCAGTTCAGTCGCTCAGTTGTGTCCAACTCTTTGCGACCCCATGGACTGCAGCATGCCAGCCTATGAAGCCAACAGTTGTAGGTGAAAAATAAAAATGCGTTTAATTCTTGAGTTTATATGCAAGGCAATTCTACGCCAGGTATCAAACATAAATCCCTTCCCCAAAGTTAGATAAGTGACAGGGCTCATACTGTCATATTTTAGAACTTGATGATGCTCCGTGATGGAAATACAGCGTTTGCCACCTTTATCATGTAAATAAGTCATCAACTAAAGCCCATAATCAACTGCAGAGACCACACATATATTCTAAAATAAATCTATGTGTAGAAGGACATCTGAAACCTCCCATAATGATTTTGTTAGGGAAAGGGCTTATGGTACATTCAGCATATTTTATTTTTCACTTATGTATATATATATTTAATCTTTTGGCCACACCACTTAGCATATAGGATCTTAGTTCCCCAACCAGGGATCGAACCTGTGCCCCCTCCACTGGCAGCAAGAAATCTAACCACTGGACCACCAGGGAAGTCTCTATTCAGTATATTTACTGCTATTTGCTACACTGACTCCCAGAAATAGGGAAACCAAAAACAAAACAGAAAAACAAACAGGAAAAAGGAAAACACTCCACAAAAATACAGGAATGGAATCTGCTGTTCTGTTTTGCTTCTTTAAGAATGGTGTTTCCTTATATTTGTGTGCAAACACTTTAATTTATTTAGCAATTTTGCTCAGAAGTGAAGTTTATGCCTAAAAAATAGCAAAGCTGACTGAGGAGCTTTCCAATTTTATATGCTCTGATAACATTAAAAAAAAAATTGCTTTGGAGAATGAAACCCATGATGGGCCTATGAAATGGTGACTCACTCAAATTCACTCAGCGTTTCTCAAGGAAGACTTTCCCGAGGGGTGGCTTTTGGAAGGACCACTGTGAACACAGCAGGGTGGAGTTACAGAACAGCGCTTAATCAATCAAGCAATCGTTAGAAATGATGTCTTGTAAACTGTTCCACAAATCCACATCTTGGCTATGGATTTGTGGTGAAAGAACGCACCAACCACACAAGGGTAAGTTGGGAGGTGCCCTGGGCGGGCGGCGTTCTTCCTAACAGCTGAGCTGTGGACAGGGTTCACTTAAAAATTATCCACACAAGGGCATTCATTGTCACCGTCTCTGACTCACAGGTGTCTGGTAGTGTGATGAAAACCTCTTTGCAGGTATTTTGCAAGATTTTACGCTGTGGCTGGCTGACCAACCCAAGGGACCTTCGTGAGGGTTAATACTGCAAATGGCCTCCACACCAAAACTGCTGATTCATTCAGCTCTGAATTATTAATTCCCCCCCCTTTTTTTAACTTTTCAAATTGTTCAGCCATTTGTTTATTTATTCTTCTCTTTTCATGAATAACTATTGATAAAAGATAAAAACAAATACAGAAATAAATGACTGTTAAGCACCAACCACGCAGCGCATACCATGCTCAGATCTAGAGATATCCTGGTTAACAAGCCCACAAAAGCTGAATCTCTGCCGTGGAAGGCAGAGAGAATACAAAGTGAAAGTGTTAGCCTTTCAGTCGTGTCCAGCTCTTTGCGACCCCATGGACTATAGCCCACCAGGCTCCTCTGTCCGTGGGATTTCCCAGGCAAGAGTACTGGGGTGGGATGTGACTCCCAACCCAGGGACTGAATCCCAGTTTTCTGTACTGCAGGCAGATTCTTTACCGTCCACCAGGGAAGACCCAGAGATAATGCAAGTGAGCTATTAAACAATTTAAAAGAAATCAGTGACAATGACGCCCGATTTGATATTTGGAAGCAAGCAAATCCCTCTGGGTTATCACTTCTAAAAAGAAACTGGAAATCAAGCATCAATTTGACACAAATAAGGCTGAGGACACAGTTAGGAATGCTTGCCTAGTATTCACTGGAGTGTTTTTCTGAGAATAAGCTTCCTTTTTGACAATGGGTCACTTCAGAACAGATAGTTATTTTATAAACTTTTTTAAAAAATGTAAAGACATACTAAGAAAAAAAAACCCTGTAGCTTATAAATGTTTATCTTTGAGGCAATTAAGAATCAGAATGTAATGAAAAACAGACCCAATGGCTGCAATATCCTCACCTTTGGAAGATTAAAGATTAGGAGACTTTATTATGCAAATTAAACCCAAGGTTAATGACTGACCCAGGTCACCTGAAAAAGTCAGTTCCCAACATGAGGAAAACCCGTATATATCATTTTGCCCCATGTCAAAGCAAATACTCGTCTAGGAGAAAAACTAATTAGGATGAGCATCATTGTGTCATGTCCTTTCCTAGGGGAAGTCAGCGGATACTTGGTAGGTTTAAAAATACACTCCCAATTAAAAGTTAATATTGACTTCTAAAACTTAAAAAAAGTGTGATGCCTGTATTATAAACCTGTTAATACTACAAATCCATGTCTTTAAAGAGTTTACAGTGGATCCTGTCCATTCACTTGGAGAAGAGCCACTCTGACAAGAGATGCTAGACCAGATGTATCCATCCAACCACAAATGGTGTGGAACTGGAGGCTTCTACCGTTAGCCAGAATAAGAACAATAATAACAATAAAAGCCGTTTCCTACAGAAGACATCAAAATTCAAAGAAATAAAGTAACTTCCTCATTAAGTTTAGGCAGCAGGACTAGAACCCAGGTGTCAGGGCTCCTGGCATCAGTTCACCTAGGGAATGACCCAACACCAATTCCAATTCAGTCCACTGGCAACTTGGACTGTTCTTCTCTGGGGTTCTGAACAACTGCTCCAAAGTGTCACTTCTCTTCTTTCTACCCACGGACAGAAACCAGGATACAGCAATGACGCTGACTGGACTAACACTCTTAGTTATGAAGGTGCCTACTAGCTGGATGCTAAGATTTGGAGTTAAACTCATGTAATACACATTGCCGGACTTCCCTGGTGGGTCAGAGGTAAAGAATCCACCTGCAATACGGGAGACCAGGTTCCATCCCTCCTGGGTCAGGAAGATCCCTGCGAGAAAGAAGCGGCAACCCACTCCAACATTCCTGCCTGGGAAATTCCACGGACAGAGGAGCCTGGAGAGCTAAAGTTCATGGGGTCGCAAAAGAGTCAGACATGACTTAGTGACTAAACAACAACAATGATGTCTTACTTTAAAACGCTTTTTTTTTTTTTTTGAAGACACTGTTGGACTTCCAAAAGCTTAAGATTTCCATTTATTTTACCTAATGACTATTTTATATTTTCAAAGATTTCCCTCTTATTTCATACCCATCTGCTTGTCCCATCCCTCAAAAACACTTTTACTTTCATTGTATGATCACTGTGCTTTTAAATCTGTAATTCACCACTTTCCCTTTTTCTTTGTTGCTTATTCTCACTAAGCCACTCTCTGTGCATTACCATGGTTTAAAAATAGGCTTTCAGTCGCTGTGGCATTTCAGGTTCACACCAAAGGACAAGGATTAGACGGTTATGACCATATCTTTGTTTTAGTTACTAATGACTGTAATAAAAAACAGAAAACAATACATTATTGAGTACTTAATAAGTAGTCAGTGAATTGTTGATTTTGCAATTTCTCAAGAGCAGCCAAGAGAGTTTCAGTCTGATCACCCAGAGCCCATCTCCCAGTAGACAGCGGCTCAGCACCCCCGACAAACTGGGGCCCCTCCTGACGAGTGAGTGGAGACTCCCCAAGAAACCGAGAAAAACGACTGCGTTGCTTGCCTGATGTGAACAGCTGTCCTAGGTGCACCCAGACCGGGCTCTGACATACCCTGGGCCCGAAACAACCCTAACTCCTGTACCTACTAGGCACAGCCTGCCTCACTGGATTGCACAGCCTCAGGAGTGAACAGGAACTCAGACAGAACCCACAAGGTACATGGATGTGTCAAATTAATTATATAGGAAGAAAAAAAAAGAAATTCATCGAACAAACCTAACTTTATTCTTTTTCTTCCAAATCTGGTTTTAGCCTGCCCATGTATGACAGTGGTTGCCTGGAACGCCCACCCTTTGACCTACACACTCCATGCGGAATGGGTACCATTTTACCATCTTGCTCACTGCTGAACCCCTAGCACTGATGCAGTTTCTGGCACAGAGTAAATACTAAATGAATGGATGGATGGATGGATGGATGGATGGATGGATAAAGATAAAAGTCATCGCACAAGATTCACCTATCAAAATCTCACCAATGTTTCTTAAAAATGGTTGTCAGTAGAGATGCTGAGTATATTCAAGTATATCCACTTATTTCAATGCTACAAAAACTCTAGGAGGCTCTTTCTCTTTAGGTATTTATATTAATGGTATTACTAGTACAGGGTCCTTCATTCAATTAAGGCTTCTTTAAAAAAGAAAATGGACAATTTTCAGCAAAGATTCCCACCAAATTATTTGCCACAGTAATAATTTTCAGGAAACAAAAATGGATACAAACCTATTTAGCTTACCCTAATTTCTATAAAATAAATGAATAGAATTATACTTACATATAATGTAATAATCTCTGTTCTTCTGAAATTCTAGACCCCAGAGGTTAGGGCTGAATTCTTGGAACTTGATAGTGAACTTTACATCTTGATCTGGTCTGGCACAGTTGAGAAGAGGGGTATTTTCCTTCTTAATAGTGCATCTGTCTGCTTGGTCTTTGTCCACCATATAAACTTTATAATATTCATACTGGCCAACAGTTTTAGAGTCCACCTTGGGGCAAATAATATCCAATTTGTCTCCTATCTGTGGGTATAGTACCAGTCCTTGTCCAGGTAGAAATCTAAAAGCATAAAAGAAAAGGTACCATTGAGTTTATTTAAAAAAATTAACCGTGTTAATGATAATGACAATATAGTCAGACAACATCAAGAATTCCAAAATGCAATTTCATAGTTCCACACTTTTATTGATCAACAGTATCTGAGTTCACTTTGCCAACAAAAGTCCGTCTAGTCAAAGCTATAGCTTTTCCAGTCGTCATGTCCAGATGAGAGAGCTGGACCATAAAGAAGGCTGAATGCCGAAGAACTGATGCTTTCAAACTGCGGTGCTGGAGAAGGCTCTTGAGAGTCCCGCAGACTGCAAGGAGATCCAGCCAGTCCATCCTAAAGGAAATCAACCCTGGATATCACTGGAAGGACTGAAGCTGAAGCTCCAATACTTTGACCACCTATGTGGACAGAGAGCAGACTCATTGGTAAAGACCCTGATGCTGGGACAGACTGAGGGCAGGCAGGAGGAGAAGGGGGTGACAGAGGATGAGATGGCTGGATGGCATCACCGACTCGATGGACGTGAGTGTGAGCAAACTCTGGGAGACAGTGAAGGACAGGGGAGTGTGGTGTGCACAAAGCATGGGACACCACTGAGTGACTGAACAACAATCTGAATTCAGATCAATACGGGATGCATGTATTTAGGAACTAAGCTTTAAAGGAAAAAAGAAAGAAGCCACATTCCTCTCTTTACCCAGTAGGATCAAGTCACCCTGCTGACACTCCTTCCCCACGCCCTCACTGTAACATTTCAGGGCTCCTTTGTGTAACTCCACAGTGACTTTTCCTTGATGGTGAGTCAGACCTTCCCACCTGTTTGTTATTTTTTAACCATTGGCAGCCTCCGTTTATTGGGCATGCCACAGAAAGACCGCCTCAATTCCATGGAGTGGTGGATGCCCGAAGACTTCGCTGTCCTGTTAGTTTCCATTTGCTGTTGATGCTAATTAACAGACAAGTTTCATCAAGAATGTTTCAAATTACTTATCATAATTAGTCACTGATCAAACAATGGCTCCTTTATTACCCTGAACAAAAGAAACGTCTTACAAACCCATAAAAAGTTAACCAGAAATAATTAGTTGGAGTATTGATTCAGCTGCAAGATGAAAAGTCCCCGGCTCAGGAGGACAGCATCTACTGTCCTGGCCCCACAAACCATTTTCCCCCTCCCTTGAGATACAGTTGCTTCAATTAATTCTTAGAAGCAGATCTTTAGAATCCAAACTCCTGATGCACGATCCCCACAATGCTTACCGCTAACAACCTCCCTCCTCCCCGTTCTTTCTTCCCAGCCCTGCTGCTGGAAGATCTTTCCTATCGGGGAGCTCCTCTGAGAACCTGAAACAAGAGCTTCTCAGTGAACATCCTTCTACAAGTGCTAACGTTAAAAACACACTTAGGAAACCCATCTCGTTCCTTCCGAGGAAACCAAGCCTGCAGGCTCATTCAAGTATTAAAGCCTGGGAACAAAGCATCATGTCTGATCCAACGTTTACTGAACCAGGGAAGGCCATCAGCCATGACCATGAATGGGTCATAATTCACTGAGAAAGAAGCAGAAGAGAGGGAGGGAGAAAGCAGGAGGGATGGGGCGTCCCCAATTTCAAATCGATACTGAAGGAACAGCTGATGATGTGTGCTAATGAGTGGTATGAATTTTTCTAAAATGTGCATGAGGTTGATTATAAAGCATCACAGAACATAACAAAAACTAGATTGCAGATTTATATGAAAAACCAGGAGGAAAAAAAGAAAGCAAGTTGCACACAATGGTCTGTCACTCTTCCCTGGGAATGTGCCTTTTTACAATCCCCAAGAGAGGGTGGCCCCTTTCTTATTTTGTCTTAACTGAAATTCCTAAAGCAGGGATATATGATACTTTTTTAAAGTTAAAAATGAAAGTGGATGACAAAAATCTTTCCTTGAAGCAGAACTCAAAATGAATGACAAATTTCAGACAACCATGTTGTGCACCCTTGAAGAATTCTCTAGAACTGCTGACAAATGTAGATCACCACTGTGTAGGAGCCTCTCGGGGAAATTCTGGGCCATTCCTGCAGTTTTCTGGAGAGCTGCTTGGAAAACTGGACTCCAGGGGACTGCGGGCCTCCAGGGCTCTCTTTCCACCCTGAGGGTCAGGGGTCTCCATCTTTCCTGTGGCTAAAACCTGACTCTGGTTTCTGGTGGACAGACTGAAGGACAGAATCTGAATGTTTGAGGCTTGTTTAGTCTTTACTAAGTGATTCTGCTGTGGTTGGGAAGTGGGGGCAAGGAGCCTGCTGGTCCATAAAGATGAGATACACTGAGTATTAACGCTGCTCACCTTCCTGACACATCATTTTTCTCATGTCTTATTCCTGGACCTTCTTGGGAAATCTTCACTGCATCTGAGCACCAAGGGCAGACTCCTGCCTGGGGTTTCCCACCCCGCTCCAAACACCTTCTCCCCTAAACCTGTTCCGGGAGCAGTCGGCACAGCGAGAACCTGCGTGAGCTGGAGTGAAATCTGTAGCCTGGATGCCCAGACCTGCCTCCTTTCAGCTCTGACCACCACGCTGAGCAACCTTCACCCTGGACCACCAGGCTCTGGACCTCAGGGTCCTGAGACAGATGGACCCATCCTCTTGTCCATCCACTCAGTTCCTTTAAGACATCAGGCCCAGCTCCACCCGAAAGCTGTGTATCATCTCTGCACATCTCCGAGCTCTCCCACATCACGCCTACATCTCAGGTTTGGCTCACCAAGCTCTTCTTCATTCAAGATGCTACCCAGATCCTGTCCCCCTCACGAAGATGATTTTTTCCTGCGTAACCGAAGGCTCGCTGTTGGTTCCCTCTCCGCCCCCGTGAGCACCTCCACGTGACTCTCTCTTCACTCACCAAATCCAAGTTCCAGTTTCTGCTGGAGCTGATAGGGCGAAGTCAAGAACATGAACGGGTTTAGCTACAAGGATCTCTGTGTTTAAGACCAGGTTCTCAGAAGGTCCTGATTATATTTGCTAAGTCACTTCAGTCGTGTCCGACTCTCTGCAATCCCATGTAGCCTGCCAGGCTCCTCTGTCCATGGGATTCTCTGGGAAAGAATACTGGAGTGGGTTGCCTTTCCCTTCTCCAGGGGATCTTCCTGACCCAGAGATCAACCCCTCATCTCTTGTTTATCAGTAGCACCGCCTGGGAAGAAAGTACTGATCACACAAAAAGCTTAAATGGTCAATGACAGGAGAGCCATGTCTGGGGAGGAGTTAACCCAGGGGATGCTTTTTGAAAGGGAGGAATCTCAATTGCAATAAGTGTATTGGATGCACTCATAAAAAGTAAATCCTGATAAAACCCACTATTCCTAATGCTTGCAAAAGCATCAGTTCACTTTTCAGAGGACACTGTGGCAAAAAGTCAGGCAAGGATTTGCTCCTTCACTCTGAAAAGTGGTTTCAAGGGTTCCTAAAAAAAATTATTCCTTCTTTAAATGCATACAACAGGACCTGACACTTGAGCACTTTAGAGGTTGATTTTTTTAAACCTATACAGGTATATGTTAATAGATATACCAGCAATTAGCACACTTGTTTCTTTAATTGATGAGATTATGGTTTCTCAGTAGACAAATGACTCGGGCAGAATTTCCTGCACATGTTACCACTAAGTTTATTGAGCCCAGAAATCCCTTTGCCTCCCAGGAGACTTCACGGTTATTGTTGTGTTTTCTTTTAATTGAGATATAGTTGATTTATAACATTATATTCCTTTCAGGTGCACTACATTGTGATTCAAAATGTTTATGGTTCTATTCCATTTACAATTATTAAGAAATATTGATTATATTCCCTGTGTTGTACAATATACCTTGTAGCTTATTTATTTTATACATAGTAGTTTGTAGCTCTTAATTCTCTGCTCCTCCCACCTTCCTCTGCCCACCCCCCTCAATTAATAACTACTGGTTTGTTCTCTGAATCTGTGAACTTTTCTTTTTAGTTATAATCACTAGTTTGCTTTGTTTTTTAGATTCCACATGTAAGGGATCACAAACAGTATCTGTCTCTGTCTTACTTACTAAGCAGGCAGGATACCCTTTGGGTCTATCCATGCACCTTCACTGTCTCTAAGGCAACATGGAGCAAGTGGAATCAAGTGAGGGTAACAACCGAGGCACCCGCATCTCCCTGAGAGATGCTAGGAGAGATGCTACAGGAAAGTAGGACCCGGATGTCAGGACTTTACAATCTGGCTTCCCGAGGGCAGCAGGTCCCAGGCATGGCTGACTCAACACAGAACGTCCAAGTGCTGACATCTGGTAGATGCTTAAAGAACCAGCGGCAGCTAAGACACACACAATCAATTTAAGTCAAATCTAGTGCCATGAACTAGCTGCAGATCGCAGGCACGGAAGGGACTCTGAAGGAAGGATGAGCGGGAGTTGGGATGGGGCCGGGGAGGTGGGCGGGAGGGTGGTGGTGCTGAGAACGGAGCAGAACCACCCCGGCAGGATGCGTTTCTGGACAGTCAGGGGCACTGCAGATGGCGCTCTGGACTCCTGCTCCCCAGTCATGAATATTGGCGGTTTTCTGCAATCCTTTCCTGGTTACAACGCAAAGCGGTGCGCCACCCCCAGGAGCGAGGCGGCTTCTGGGCACTGACTCTTTGGTAAGTGAACACGGATCAAAGCACCCCCCACCACAGTCTCCATTCGGTCCCCGCACCCGGACCTGACACGCAGACCAGACATGCGCCTCGTGCCACACATGAGACGCAACAGGAAAAGCCCCGCTCTGCACACTTCTCAGCTCCAGCTACATGGCATTAAAGCGAAAATCAGGTTTGGGGAAACGCAGCTTTCTCTCAATTGAGCTTTTCTAGAAAAGCCACACAGTTAAAGGCGAATCAAGAGAAAGAACGTCAATCCACGTGCATGCCTTTACCCAGGCGTCAGAGACCAGGGTCGGAGGCGAAAACGGGCCAGAGGTGGAACTTGTGTTTCCAGTGTGGTGTTACAGAGCGATCT